GCTCCAACTTGCTTTTGTGCTTAATTAGTGCATCATATAGCTTGTCCGATGCATGTGAATTGCAGTTGATGAATGGTAATAATTGGCATGCAATGCCTCAAGAATAGCAGCCACCATTCAGGCAGGATGGAAGATTATTTTAATTATCCAGAGTCTGGCATCCTTGAGATTTCTCTTGATAAGATGTAGGTCGGGGTTCCGGGGAGGGATACAATAGGACGTAGTGGGATGTTAGGTTTGTGGAGTTTTGGCCTACCGTAGAATTGTTGGTACATTGGATTTCATTCTCAATTGATCTTGTTTTGATATTTGTCCTGTTTTTACAAGCCTATTTAGAGTCCTTGTGATTTGATTGTCCAACTTTTTTATGGGGTTTGTGTCGACTGGTTTATATACGCTTCTGTCCTGAAGTAGTTCCTCGGCTTTCTTGATATATTCCTGCTTGTCCATGATTACTGTTGTGCGTCCTTTGTCCAGCGGATATTAAAACATCTGGTGGATGAATCCAACTACTCCATTAAGTCTGCCACAGAATTCTTGGATAAACTCAAGAGGATTCAAATTGACAACGACGAAATGATGATATCCTTCGACGTAACAGCCTTATTCACAACAATAGAACCAAGCTTAGCTAAAGAAATTCTTTCTCTGCTCCTCACCAACGACACAAATCTACACAAATATACAAAGCTTCAGAGTCAAAGTTTGCTTGAACTCATCGACCTATGCTTAACAACATATCTTCAGTTCAACAACAGAGTCTACGAACAAATAAAAGGAACACCAACGGGATCACCAATATCAGGACTCATCGCCGAAGCAGTAATGCAGAGACTGGAAGCATCGATTCTGCCAGTGATCAAGCCAAAAATGTGGGTTCGCTATGTAGACGACACATTCGTTATTGTCAAAAGGAATGAGCTGGAGATACCTACAATCAGATCAACAACGTCTTTGATGACATCAAATTCACGATGGAAAAGGAATCAAACAACAGCTTATCATTCCTGGATGTACTAATCACCAGAACTAACACAGGAAAACTAGAAACTCAAGTATTTCGGAAGCCAACCCACACCGACATAATTCTCAACTACGACAGCAACAACCCAAGAACCCACAAGATTAACTGCATACAAACTCTGTTCAAGAGAGCGAAGACACACTGCAGCACATACGAAACATTAAAAAACGAGGAAAGACATCTGATGACTATCTTCCAAAAGAACGGCTATCAAAAACCATCAACCAAAACCATCATCAGAAGTGAAATCAAGCATAGGAACAAATAGACGCATCATCCTACCATACATCAAAGACATATCGGAACATACGGCACGACTACTGAAACCATTTGGAATAGGTGTGGCACACAAACCAACGGAATCACTTCTGTCAATCCTATGTAGACCAAAGGACAAAATGACAAAGGAAGAAAAACCAAATATCATCTACAAAATAAATTGCTCAAACTGTGAAAAACACTACATAGGACAAAGTGGACGACCTCTTCAGCTCCGTTTACGTGAACATCAATTAGCAGTCAAACGCCACGACAACACTTCGCTTATATCAATACACACCGACAATTATGGACACACATTTGATTGGAACAACGTGGAAATATTGGGTAGGGGGAGGACAAAGAACACTAGAGAATTTTTAGAAGCTTGGCACTCAGGTCAATTAGCAATCAACAAACACATCGACATTGACCCAATTTATCAACCAATCAGGAAAATCATAGGTGACACTAGATCAAGAAACAGATCAAAAGAGGGAGGCAATCAAAACATAGTTGCAAACAACGACAGGTCAAAGGTCAACAACAACCAATCAAGATCGAGGTTAGCAGAACAAGCTACAGGTCAAACGTGGAGAAATTCTAATGCTTCACTTCTATCTGAAGTTCGTGCTGATGATGTTGTTCAGAAGAACAATGAAAGATCCACAACCAAAACAACCAGCTCAGAGAACGAAACACCACCACAATCATCCACCTGAGCTACAAGTTTTCTCCACTAACTCAAAACTACAATTTGTATTGCTTGCTTTTTCGAATTCTCATCTGGTAATTTGGTAAATAAAGAATAAAGCATGTTTACTTAAATTGAAGAATCCTAGACAATATCTGGTAATCGATAAAAAAACTAGTATCAGAAAGTCCTCCAATCAATGGCTAATTTACAACTTTTAATCAATGACCAGTGTGTACAATCATCTTAAATGAAGTGTTTTTTTCATGTTTCCATAAATTAGATCATATGAATCATTCTGGATCATGTGGTGTAAATGCATCTATGCATTGATTGATGCTTGATCGTCATGTCATCAATGACAACTGGCAGAAATAAATGTAAACATAAGAAGCATACTTGTGTTCATTTTGAGGTTGAAATGAGAAATTAAATTCTGAAAATGAAAACAAAATCAATATCTAAGTTATATCAAGAAACGTCAAACGTAGGTAACACGCATGACTAGCAACGTTTCTCTTTTCATGACTAATCTTCCAATATATTTTATCAATCTCACCATAAACGAACTAAGAATTCAGGGAAGGATATAATCTAAAAAGTCACGAAGCAAAACATTTAATTTACATTGTAATTAAAACTTGATTTTTCACAGCATATGGAAGAAAATACCTTGTTATCATAGTTACGTTAAGGGTGTAAAATTATGACATTGAATACTTTCATATAGTAATGACAAACTTTGTAAGGCGGTAGTTAGAGATAGTCGACAGAAAACTGTTGAAGACGTTAGACCCCCAGAACTTACTTGAAAATGACCTAATTTTGGATTTTGAGTATTCGCGTATGAGCTGATCAGTTGACCTTGAGATTACATTTCCCAACCGGAAAATTCTCGACTGTCACCGGTTGATGTTTTACTTTGGTACGCTATTGTTGTGGCTCTTCCAAGGACGTTTCTGTGATGTATTAATAAACTCGATTTGTGTGCTTGTAGACCTCATATTTCTGGGTGCTTGTAGAATAAACTTTCTAAGACATATCAACACTTCTAGCTGTAGGTAGTAGGGCCGAAGACAGTCGCATCAGAATATCCTAACGTATCACTGAATCAGTTGTCCTTCCTCCCGTTTACCGAATAATGTGAACTCCTAATAGTTTCGAGCATATCAATTGACGAGAATATCAGAAACCTTGGGCCTAAGTTTCGTGTCAACTTTCGACCACCAGCCCACGCAATATCAAATCATCTAAATTTGTGGCCACATCGCAACCTGTTCAATAGAATTCAGTCAACATCAAGAAGGAGCTGACATACCTTAAATCAGTCACCACCCAGTGATTGATCCATTATAAGTGTTCAAAAATTTTTCTAGTCGTTATTTTAGTTTTCCTGCATCCCTACCATATTATTTTACTGAGAGTATAACGTATAGTTCACCAAATTGATTACGCTTTTGTTTTTCACTCAATATATATTAAACATCCAAGTCCTCACTTTTGAAACAGAATCAAATGTAAATAATTACAAACAACTTTCACGGATCTGCAAGCTATGTAATTATGTGGGCAAGATTGAAAGATGTCTCAAAATTTATTAGTTTGAATATATATATATATATATATATATATATATATGCATTTCGCAAATGAACCGAACAATGAGACAATAATTAGTCTAGTTTCTTTTCTTTACCTTCTTGCCAGTGATAATTATTTATTAATAATAATAATAATTATTGTTTATAATTATTAATTTATTATATACAGTTTCTAGACGGTATCGATTATTGTATATTTGATTGTGTAAGGATGCCTTATCGCTTATCACATGTCTAGCCTATGTTTGACTATAAATACTTAGTCACTCTTCAGCTCATACAGAGTTGGCTCACTTGCCTCCTTCGATTCGCTTCGCTTTTGGAGTCAAGTCGTAAGCATCTAAAACTTATTAGATAGTGGTTTTCCAAATACATACATTACAAATATGTGGGGTTTTGTTTCGATAGAGAACATTACATTTTATACATCTTTTACAGAAGTAATAATTTATAATCTCACTGTAATTTACATTTTTCTTTATCGAAATATATGTGTTAAAATAGGCAAGTAGATGAAAGCTATTAGATTTTAACTTTAATTTGATGCAATAACTTTAAACATATTTGTAATTACATAGATTACATATGAATTCACGACAATTTAAAATCCAATGGAACAAACATTTCCTTTTAATATCACAGTACAACATATTCATTCATTTCCCCTCATTAATTTTTTTTTTTTGAATAAACCTTTCTGCTTTATTGTAAATGAATATTTTAAATTGTGAATGTAAAAATAATATGCATCCTGTAGATATTAGACTTACACACACGCATGAATATAAGATATTTCAAAAAAGTTATATACATTTTTTATATCTATCTATTATACTCAATAAATTAACACGAGATCGTTAGATAAACATACAGTAATTTTGTTATCTTTCAAATCTATCAGAGTTATTTTATTGCTGAATAAATTGTTCATCATTTCCTTACTGTTATTCCGCCCATTTTTCATTTAATTCACTTTCGTTTCGGAGATTATATTTTTGGAGGTTAGTCAGCTACAAGGTAGAACTTCGTACATCAGTTCAAGTTGTAATACCACAACAGCATAGAGATACAACTATCAATTCAAATCTGATAGTGGTAGATGTAGTAGAAGTATTAGATGTAATGACGAAGATTAGGGTTCGAAGAAATTATACAAGAAAATTGAACAACAAAAACATTTAGCTCAGAGAACATGACATTTCTTAAATTCTCAGTCAGTCAGTCAGGTGCAACGTAGAACTTCGTACGTAAGTACATCAGTTCATGTTGCCATACCACATCAGTACAGAGATGTAACTGTCAATTCAAATCCAATAGTAGAAGAGGTAGTAAAGGTATTAGAAGTAATCGAAGAGGTTAGGATTAGAAGATATTATTCAAGAAGTATGATTCAGTGAGATAAGTTAAGAAAGTCAAAACTAGAGGGGTTGAAGAATCCAGAAGATTAAGATTTGAGAGAACACAAAGAATAAATGCACCGGCGCCATTGCGAACGATTTTGTGCCATGTCATTCAAGGTCTCTAACCATCGAATATTATCATCTCGGGGACCCCAACCAGGTAGTCGACAACTACCGACATGACTTAGTTCACTTGTCAATGACTTAAATTCTTCTTTCAAGACATACCATACCTCCAGTGATGTGGACCAACACGAAATTACAGTAATATTTTTGCGGTCTCCAAATCCCAACTGCAGAAAATTCTAGTTTATTTTTGGTAATATGTATTGACCGTATCATGACTTTATTATGTAAAACTGAATTGATATAATTAGAAAGTATTTAATGAGTACAGTAGGATTATAAGGAAGGACAATCGGACAGGGTATTTGTTCATCACTATGAGCTACAGATGATGAAAATTACTCAAACCATGTGTTAATGATCACTGGATACATGAATAATGAAGAAATAGTCCATACGCAAGCCTTTTCGCCTTATTTCTTTTTGCCCTGGTTTGCCACACGTGCTATAGCGGCTGCTACTGTGGCTTCATCGGCAAGATAATAGTGCTTGATTGGTCTCAAGTTTGCATCCAGTTCATAAACTAGTGGAATACCTGAAAAACGGAAAATATATTGCACAGGAGTATAGTAAACGATATTAGTGAACAAATAAAATAACAGAACTTTTAAAGGTTAGCCAGCCTTGATAACCTACTCAAAACATTCCCTAATCCCATCAAGTTAGTGGATTTAATTAGTATTGTCATGCTACGGATACCTAGACCCCCATAAAACCCGTACTACTCAGGATTTTAAACTATACATAACTGGTTTTTGTATGCTAATTGTATTTACTTTGAGTTCTTTATATATAGTATTAACGAAAAATTATTCAGTGCTGGGTTTGTTGTGTAAACACATTTTTTAAACCAAGATCGACAATATTCGCAGAATTCGATTAAGGACTGATTACCCTCAGTTACATAGTAGCTGATGAATTCAATCATTTTGAAATCTTAACGTAACGGAGTGTAAATGAAGTTCTTAAGAATCTTACAAATAACTGAAGTGACAGACCTAGAATATCTAGAATAATTCTATTACGCAATATTAGAAAAATATTGCAGGTTACGAAAAACATTTTCCGCAAGTCTTTTCCTTTCTTCAGTGATTGGTGCTCTACAGGTTTTAAAATACATATACGTCAGATGTATACAATAAATATACCGTTTGCTTTAACGGCAACTATTAGTCTTCGTGTTTTACGAATCTAGCACAATAAATTCATGATTAACGGTTATCAATCAGCGCTGAAAGATCTTTTACATTTTTAGGACGAATGAAGAACTATTTATCATGACACAGAATCTGTCATCGAAATTTACTAACCATAACATCAAATATGTCCATAACTGTAAGGAACAAGAAAGAGCAAACCAACTTCTTAAAAGAAATCATTTCATAAGCTTATTGAACGTAGCAAATTGTAAGCATTGCATTATTTTATGTTATTCTGAGAAAAAGAAACATTAAACTAACCAGTAGGTATATTAAGCTCCACAATATCTGTATCGGATGTATTATCTAGGTACTTAATGAGCGCTCGTAAACTGTTCCCGTGGGCGACGATAAGAACTTGCTTGCCACTCTAAATTTACAGAAGGAAGATTAAACAAACTATTAGGTCAATCAAATACAGTAAAAATAAGTAAACGTATTATAGTTAAGTTTCTAAAAACACTCAATCATTCAAATCATTCCAGTTATTAAATTGGGTTTAATCAAGTTCAAAATTTAAAATTGATCGCATAAAGTATTACTGATAGCTGGTTTTTGATATTTTAAAGCAAACTGATTCGCTTATTTATAAATCCTGTTACGGAGTGAGGTGCAGTCCAGAAACTCCTAGGAAGAGGTCATCGACAGAAAAGTGCAAACTGACTAAATCAAGAACAAAAATACCTTTGGGTAAGTGGTGAATGTAGATGAGGAATAAAACTAGTTTCAGAGCTGTTTTATAATCACTTTCTATTGAGGAACACTAACTTTAATGGGTCAGGATGTGAAGGTAATGCAAACAGGAATAAAGTCAGTACTAAGAACTGACCAGTGACCAATCAGCATGAAGAAACTTTCAAAGAGAGGATGAAATTTTAATCAAATGCCCCTTAGCGCTTCTAAATTTTTTAAAATAAAAATAGGCTTTTTATTAGATCGACGAATTCTTCCAGCCTACTCCTACATCAGACCACATAGTTTGTCGACGTGGTCAGTGATTAGGCACCTAAACTGATAAAAATTCACTACTTCATCAACTGATCTGCCATCCTAACATTGTACCCTTTTCCTAACATCAGAACTGCTTGCTTGATGGTTTCCAGATATATGGGCAATGCTTTGAAGACACTGATGATCGAATATGAGTAGTCTATTGATACGCTCTATCCTTATTGACCATGTTTCACATCCGTAAAGTAGTACGGAGCAAACTGCTGCGCAGTAAACTCGTTGTTTGGTTAAAAGACGGATATTTCGCCTACGCCATGAGTGACGCAAGTTGGCAAAAGCCAATCAAGCATTTTGTATCCGTGTTGAGATTTCGTCACACGCTAGGCCATTGAGACTAATGAGACTCCCAAGCTAAGATGTTGAACATGCTCAACTACACTTCGATTCAGGCGAAGATGCAAGCCATTTTTGAAGTAATATTTTGCATTAGGAGGGTAACAGACGCATCGATTTCGATGACAGTTCGCCATAGGCTCTCACGCGACCAGAAGTGTTCGAGCAGAGAGTGCCGATTAATGGTTAAGCTCATTCCCACTAACCAACAAAACTATTCTGATTTTCAGAGTACACCTATTTACAATTACCTTAGTTTTCAGAATTTCAACAACAGAAATCTACTTCTCACAAAAGAACGGCTAGATTGTAGAATACGAAAACAGGCAATACATAGGAACAATATTGCTGCTACGTGATACGCTTATTAAATTGAGAAAAAAACACCGTTTCACTAAAAACATCTTGAGTTGTTTATCAAAACATATGTCATCTAATTTACCTTGTATGACTCTTAATCAACACCTCTAATATTCAACATACGTTGATTAAAGCGACTATTCAATTTATGACAAGATGATTGGTCCTTAGTTTTCAATAAGAATGATAACATATCCAAAAATATAAAATTAATGAAATAAATATCATATCTAAAATATAAGATTAAATATATTTATACCTTTATACTGGCAGAAATAGTATCAAACCAAAATGGTAGTACACGTTGTACAGTGTCCTTTAAACATTCGGTACGTGGTATGCAGGAAGAGTCAAGTAGCTAAAAATCAAATTCAACACTTAAATGATATTAAGTTCACACCATATATACAGAAAAGTAATTAAGTTCCACAAGTAACAATAAGCCACAAAAATACGGCAGTAAGTATAACAAACCTAGAATCTGTTGAAAATAGATATACTGGAACATTTCCAAACATGAGATTGTAGCGTATTTGTGATAATGAAATTCTTAGTACAAAAAGATAGTGCTGTAGCGAGTTTGTGTTCTACATTGTGAATTACGTTTTTATGTAGAGACTAGAAATTATTACGTTGAAGTAATAGAAGCTTGATTAACGGAATCTCTAAATAACTAGTTGAAATCATTATCAGATAAAATTTTGGAGCTTCGTACTGAGGGGTTCTTACGAAAAGAAAACATTGGTGATCCGATGATAAGTTTATAAGTTTATATTCAGTTACACGATCATCTTTAGAGAGAACGTTGTTGATAGCAAACTTAAAGAGAATTGGTGAAATTGGACAATCCCGCTTAATGTTACTGCATGAATGAAACAATGGAGATGGGTAACTGTATGGCCTGAACGCCTAAGAAGTATGTATTTAGGGTCTTCAAGACGCTGATAAGCTTTACAGGATGGATAATTTCAGAGAACAATTTCATTCAACGGATAGAAAGTCGTCAGTCAGTCAGATGCAACGACGGATAGAAAGCGATGTCACGAAACACAATTGTGGGCCATTAATAAACATGGCAGTGAGTACTCTAACAGTTGTTGTAGGGTGAAGATACTATAAAGGCATATTCTAACAAAATGAAAACTAGCTTACTCCTCGCGAGCCAACCTTTCCTAGGTTTTCAACAATCTGCGAGGTGTGATGGAAACCAACAGTTTGGCTGAAGTTGGAAGTAGACTTATCTTCCGAAAGTTGTCACATATATAACGTGGGCCTTTTTTCATTTCAGAATGTTGTGACGCTGCTCCATTGTCAAGCCTTTGCAAAAAAAGCAGACAGGGACGGGGTAAGTAATCAGGGCTTCCTTCCCATTGAGTGTACGAGTCAACATCATCCGTGGAATGCAGGATAGTTAGATCGAAGCCACAGGGACAGAAGACCAAATAAATAGTTCCTTGAGGAACTGTGCCCATCGTTCAAGATTATCTATGACATTTTCGGTTTCGTCAAAAGTTGAGAACTCAGTCAGTTAGCAACAACTCAGAACTTGTTACGTAGGTATATCAGTTTAAGTTACTGGATCACATTAACACAGAGAAATAGAACTGTCGATTCAAATCCCATAGTAGCAGAGGTCCTAGCAGTATTAGTAGTAATGGAGAAGACTAAGGTTCGAAAATATGGTTTGAGAAGTATAATCCAGTAAAATTTAAAGAGAGAAAAGAGGTCACGAGGAATTGAGAGGACTACAATTTGGGAGAAGACAAGGAATGGATGCACCTGAACCATCGTAAACGATTTTTAGCCATGTCATTGAAATTCTCTAACCGTCGATTACGATTGTGTTGCGGAACCCTACCAGGTAGTCTACATTTACTAAAATGGCTCAGTCCAGTTGTCGATGGCTTCGTGGATATGTACCATATTTTGGGTTGGATCTTGACAGGGTGAGGTAAAATGATTGACTATGCTCGGGTACTGTTTGCGCGTTTCAGAGACGCAGCCTACATCCATGGCATATTTTAGTCTTAGCTAAAAAAGCCCGTTGTCGTATTAGGCACACGGTCCGGACATTAAAAGTCCTAACGTTGAGTTTAGAGCGCGGTTCCAGGAGACGAGGAATAACTTTTTGTGTACTCAAATTGTTAGTATTAGAGGCGCGCGGTGATAACAGTATAGCAGAAGAGTTAATCTTGGGGATAAGAGTTATTAAGAGGAAAGATTTAATTGTGACTGAGTTAGTCTTGTGTGTTGTTACGGTTATGAGGGCAGATGCTGCTCCTCAGTTCTCCACACCGTAGAAGTGTTTCATGGGGAACCTGAAAAAGAAGTTGAATCAGCAATGGTCATAGTGATCTGGGTGCGTGACTGCAGTCTCCAAGGGACAACTGCTTGAGGCCAGTCACGCACGACCTTCGTGTGGGAAGTTTTTAAATTGTTAGTTTCGATTCTCGAAGGATATTACTACCAGACGGAAATACGTGGGGTAAGTTGGGGTGTGTCATATTTAGAGTCGACCTTTTCTAACTCCTCCCTTCTTCCATTGTGAGAAAGCAAAATCGCCGCAGATGTTGGTTGTTAGAGAGAAGCACATTACTATTGTGAAATCACTACACAGTCAGCAGTAAGACTTCGCTTTCAGACATTAATTTGCTGCTTTTAGGCTTATTATTGTCCAGTCGACCTGCTTGATGTGGTAGGATCTAAAAGAACAAGTTCTTCAGCTAATATAGCTCAGCTGGGTTATCACGATCACGTCAGGGTACCACGTCAAGGTAACAGCTACGGTCGGGAAGGTCGATAGTACATCTGTTTAAATAAGCTGACTTTTGACTGTCAGCGAAAGCTTTTTTAATGAATGAACAATCATAAAAAACACACCATATTAACAGATCAACAGAACCAAGACAAAACCACAGAATATGATCATTATGGCCAACTGTAGTGGTCGAACTCATTTTAACCAGTAATGTGATTGGGTGAACAGGAGTGAACGAGCAAACCTCATATTAGGAAATTAAGGGATATGTAAAGACATGAACGGAATAAATAGGTTCGAGTAAGTTACACAAAATGTAGGAACTAAGGTGTATGATAGGTTCGGTCAATAATATCCCTAAAATATCTTGAAAGAAAATAAGGAAACTTACAGCATACTTAGCTTCATTACCGGGGAAGCGCTTGTCTGATTCATCAATAGGAGGGGGTGCTATATCATAAGCACGTCTCCATATTTTAACTTGTGCCTCTCCATGTTTTTCAGCAGTTTCAGACTTATTTAGACCTTGAAGAGCACCATACATTCTTTCATTTAGACGCCAGGTTCTGTAGTAAGAAGGAAACACGAAGAAATTCAGGACTTAGTGTTTATTAGAAAACCTGGTCAAGTATGTTTAATCCGATCTTGAGCGTAAATGACAACAGTCATCAGCTAAGTGATATGGTGGGTAAAAATGACCAAGGAAACTGGAAAGGAGTGCTAAAGCGAATTAACCTCGGCAATATGAAATAAAAACGTAACTATTTTAGGTCACAATCTTTTGTATCAACGGAGTATCAGTTGTTTAAAGCGGTAGGTGTGAACCATAATTGTGGCGTGTGTTCTTTACATACATACATGCATTCAATGTTTCTGCAGGAACTATGTACTTTGAAGTATATGTAGGAACAAGTATTTAAACGTGTATTTCAGTATAGTTAGTGAAGTCAAAAAATCTTTGCACTCGTCATTTGAACTCTTGTTTTGCGTATTGTGGATTATAATAGTTCCCGACAATCGATCAAGTGCAGTAAGACCCGAAAGTACAACAGTGGTGATACGAGAAAAATACAATCAATAAAGAAATGATTGACGACTTAGGAATAAACAGGTAAAAAAGAAGACTACATCATAGGCTTAAATTATGTGTTGTTAGCTAATCGACATCGATGAAGAACTCAAGATTATTTTCTACAAAGGAATTTACACTGGGTGCTCCTACAAGTAGAATAAAAGATAACATAGTATGAACATATAAAACAATGCAACAAGCTGCTTATTTGACTGGTAACTACAAGTGAATTGTTCTTAAGTTCAAAAGTATTCGGAATTAGACAACAAAGACACATGTTTGGAAGCAACAGCCGAAAAATGCTAAAGATTGACATCATGCTTGTCTATGATACATATCATTTTTTGAGTCACTCCTATCACAAACGAACTGGTACTTTTACCTATTCTATGTCAAACTTTAGAATTACTATTTTTTAATATTTGAGCAGCAAAAAAGCATATGGTCGAACAGAAGCAGTTGTACTACTGCAAATGGATGTCAAGTGAAGTTACTCGGCTCTAAAACAATGCAAGACTTTTGATGACAGGAACTACTGATTTTGGATGACCTTAACTGATGCAACCTTTTAAACTTCCTTATTTACTTCGATCTCGAAGTAGCTATAGGCGAAGACTCAAGATATAACATACTTGGTAAATTAATACACATTTTCGTGCTTTAGTGAAATATGAGTAGATAATATTTAAACTGAAAAAAATTAATAAAAGTAAGTAGTTTGGTGAAGTTTATAGCTATTGGACACGTTTGCCTTCTGATTTCCGATGGTTGATTAACTGAGATCTCTGTGGCGTTAACTGTGCAGTAAAGATAACAATCTTGGGAGATTTCTGCGGACTGTTGACCGGAATATAGACTTTACTAACATATCTTTACTGATCAAAGATCGGATCCCACATGAAGTAGCTGGGTCATACAGTGAAGATATGAAAAACGAGAATATAAACGTACTTTATCACAGGTATCCAGTTGAGATCAAGTTTATCAAGGACAAAGTTTAGAGTCTTGATGGCTCTTTTCAGAACACTTGTATAGGCGACGTCAAAGAGGAAGTGATTGTCGAGGAGGAGTTGGCCGGCTTGCATAGCTTCCTTGATACCTTGTCCTGAAAGGTCTGCATCGTACCAACCACAGAATCGATTTTCTTCATTATAAACACTTTCTCCATGACGAATGAACACAATTTTGTAAGGAGCCATGTAACGATATGCCTAAAACAAGGTTGAAACTACATATTATTACATCATGGTTTTTTGACTAACATGCAACGTTGGAACACAGAATCAAACCGTAAATTACCAAGTGGCAAAATTACCATCATCTACGCGAGGATTATTAAGATAGCACAACACAAAGTCTGTCAGCAGCGCTAACGCAGTTCCACCACAACGGACTGAATATTCAGTCATGAAGTTATTCCTTTGAATGGGATGAAAACAATTTTCGTGATCATGGACCTTAGGTTGACAGCTGAATGACAGCGTCTAAACTGGTTTACAACTTGGCTTATGGCCGTACTCCGCAGGCAGATTGTCAAGATAAAAGTTGGGAGCTTTGCATTTATTCCTCGATATTCCCAGGCCCCTATTCTTTGGACAACACCAAACACCTCGAACCGTACCGGAAGAACAAGAGTCGAGAGTAACAAAATAGATTGGTATAAACTAGCTCGTGAAAAAGATAATGGAATTGTGTTGGGGACATCACCATTAGCTTAGAGACGAACTTCGTCGCGACTTTGACTCTACATAATGGGCGAAATCAGAATCACTTGCAAAGCACAAACCAAACTTGCGTTCGAGTGTTTCCTCGCCTGGGAATAATACGACAAGGTAAATTGAAAGGTATCTTCCTTAGCCGTATTCTCGAGGCAAATCACACGCTTCAGATTCCAAGATTTGACTTGAAGAACCCCATAGTGAATAAAAGAAGCAGCAGAACAACTTAGAAGGCTACAAATCTAATAACTCCAACTGACTGAATACACTTAACCGCAATAAAATCTAACCACGTACACCAGCACAGGTAGTCAAAACACGCAGCCTTTGAGTTCAACTCGCTTGGCTAATCTAAACAACATGGAAAAACATTCCATTTCAAATTTGAGTTTTATTTTGGAAAGAATAAAAGGCTATGGGTTTGATTTTAATTCCCACAATTTTCGTCACTTAGTTGGTCCAAATTGTCTTTCGAATCAGTCGTAAGATAACGATCCAATCCCGACTTGAGGTAAAGGGTTCCATTCGTTGATTACTGAGACGGTAAGACGATGAGAATTCGACTAGTGGTTTTATATCGACTCGTTAACTCTTTTAGCGTTCCTTCGTGAATTCTTTGCCCGCTACATGTCATTTTTGTTGCAAAATGATGTTTCATTCGTATCTTATTCCGCACCTGATTCAAATTTTGAAAAATATACGTATGTTTAAGCAAATGGGGTTCTTTCTGAATTCATTATTTATCGTTTAGTGAATGACGAAGTACGAACTGGATATTTCCAGGTACTGCCTGTTTGTTTATTGGCTACATCCACTTATCATCATATTAGAATTGCAATTGTGCGAAACCTTACACGGTTGGGTATAACTTCAAGCCAAAACGTCCTTGAAAACAGCACTAAGAAGTTTAAAATATAGTGCATGAGCAGTGGAGACATTAAATATGATGAAGTCACAGCCAATTTTTCGATATTTATTGGCATAGAACCTTGCGAGCTAATTAGGAATCTGATTTAAATAAAAGTTTATGTTTATGCAGTATGAATTTCTTGGAGGGAATATGAGAAGTGATCCATCGAAAAAGGCGAATTGTATATGAGTGAGCACATTTTTGACAGCTGGTTATCTAATGGCGAATTATATACACGTAATTAATGCATATTCGTTCTGCGAATCGCTTCAAGATTGGCAAGGTCGAACACATGATGTACATGGAGTCGGTGTGTAGAACAATTTTTCATTTTGCCATTAGTAATACGAAACGCTGTTACCCGTATGCTACTAATTTAAGAGTTCGTAATGATTTTATATCCACGATTTCAAAGAGTACTTTCCACATTCGAAGCGATTATACACCTCAGTATATTTATTTCTCGGTTATATTGTTAATACAGGCCATATAAAGTCCACTGCTGCATACGAAAGCCTAGTCCGTCAATTCTGAGACTACCATAAGACCTACTGAAGTTTTAGTATTGAGGGGTACTGAAAGCAAACTCTCCATCTCAGGATGTTGTATAATGCTGAAAAAAGATAGCAGTTTGTGACACAAACACACCTTCATGGAACTTAAATTCCAGCCTCTTTACATATAAATATCAAAGGCCAGAAACGCAGCTGAAATATGTTTTACCTAGTTTTTCTAATATCCAATATCTTTTTCACGAGCTAATGTAAACCAACTGATTTCTTTGCGCTCGATTCTTGTTCTTTTGGTACGGTTCCAGATGTTCGGTAGTGTCCAATGGATGGGGGTCTAGCTACTCGACTGTCAAGTTCTAGTCAGTTGCTTGTGAGTTTGTATGTCCTGCAATTTGAATGAATAAGTTTGTTTCAGTGAAGTAGGATTTCTGGATACCAGCAGTTATCACATTACCAGACCGGAGATCAATTAGTTGCACTGTGGAGAATAGTAGTTAGAAAATTCTAATGCCCATAAGAGTAAAATTTCAGTACTAAGTAAAGAAATAGATAATTTAGTTTATTGATTGGTAGTGAAGGTTGTGTAAGAGACCTAAAGTGTATGTTAGGGAGAGGAGACAGATATAATAACCGAGACAGATTTAGTCAGTGACCGAAGGTGATGCCAGTCATAACAACTAGCGTGTATCAGGACGTGCATCAGGCACAGCTAGTCCACGGGGAAAATGAAAATCCGTTTATGAGTACGTGTTAATCAAGTCTCTTAAAACTGTCCACCACTGATTCTCCTGTAACTCAGAGAGAATAATCTCAGGTGCTGGAGTCTGTCTTCATAAGTTTTATTCTTCAAGCATATCATCAATTTCGATACTAGTCTCTGCTCTTGATCCAATAGATTAATGTCTATTTTAAGGAGAGACGGTGCGACGAAGTTGTGAACCTCAAAATGTGGGCGTATGTATGCATTTCAAACAATATTAAGAATAATAAGTAGGTGATAGCTCCAAGTTAATCTTGCATAAAGTGAGCAGTTGCCTTAGCCTTGAGTGAGTTCAAACTAGTGTCGAAGATTTGAGTGGCTATTAGTCTTGTTCAGTAGCACAAAAAAGTCGGGAGAAGATTATTCAAACAAATAAACTTTCGACATTGAATATATTAAGTATATTAAATATTAATTCTACTTATGTCAAAAAAGTAATCATGCACATTCAGCATGGTATTTTTATCACAATGTATGTGTTTTGGCTAGCTCGTAACTATCACACCTAGGCTGTTACTTAAACCTCCTCCTGAAATTGACTTTATTGGAAATGTTAGTTCAGAAAAGTAGTGTACCAGTTTGGCATTTGATCTTGCCGTCTTAAGATTCTATGATGCTTACATCTCGATAAATATCTGGACATATAATTTGGGCGTGCATATTTTATTAGCCTTCTATCTCTTCACAGTGTTACCCGCATTCTTTTATAAATCATTTAATCTCACTCGTCGTACAGGTCAAAAATATAGCCATCAAAGACTGTAGGAGAAAAATAGTCGAGAAAATTAATCAAGATTATCTGAGGAAGTGCTACGAGCAGTCTATCACAACCCATTTTGATAAAGTACGGTTCACCCAAGCTATGTCCAGATATCAGACATTTACTAATAGGCCTCTTGAGCCATTCCAAGACATAAATTGAAGAAGAATTTGTCATAAAACAATCAATAAAGTAACTCAAACCTAAAGACAGCTTCTTATAAGGTCCCACAGAAAAGGCTTCTACTCAAACCAAAGTGATTTGCAATCAGTAAGTCACCATCTCGTTGGTTTGTTCGATTCCTCAATGGACGACAACAAGTTGTCAAATACAATGCTTGCCTTTCATCACCAAGACCAACAACCAATGAAGTCATTCCGGAAATTGTATTAGTTCCACTCTTGTTTCGGTTGCACATAAACGAGATATGTAGAACAATACAATTTGCAAGATCATGGTTATATGCGGATGATCTCAAAATATTATACAGTTATAAGCCTGGTAATCTGGACGGGAATATTGCCAGGATTCAATATGACCTTGACCACAACGAATGTGGCATCATGTATTTTAGTAAGCATCATCACAATGAAATACCGCTCTAGTTACAAAAATGTAGGTTTCAGACACTGGAATCAGAGCATGATTTGGGCATACATCACTCCAGAAGTCTGGAATTTGGTGGACATGCTTATTCTACTGTCTTTAAATTTAGACTGCTGATTGGGTTTGTAAATAAGAACTTATTGAAGGATAGGGCTAAGCTTACCCTCTTCGAGATGTATAGAATGCCCTTCTTGAATACTGGCCACTTACATTTTCAAACATGAATATCATAGACAACATACAGGTGGAATGAGTAGAGTGCAGCTTCTACACAGAAATATGAAAACATCTTTCGGTATAACTTTGTGGCGCCGTCGGTTAAGAAACATCCCGATACTGTTTTAAAAAATTATGTATGGCCTCTAGTTTGTAACATCCCATCCAATTATGAACCTCGACCATCCACATCAACTTAGAAACGACGCAAATACAATAGTGAAAGCAAAAAAGCAACACGTCATTGAGTAGTAATTTCTTTGTAACACGGTACAGCTGATTGTGGAAAAAATTACCGATTTCTATCCATATCTGTGTTACAATCACCAGGTTCAACAAACTAGTAATGTTGTTTTATCAACTATTCCCGTAACCTACATCATGTCCCGAGGCAGTCTTTTATGGTTCACCAAATATTTATGTTAACCTAAGAATAGATAACAGACTATGAACATATCGCATCCGCATTACCATCCATACAGGTATGGCGATTCGTACGATATACTTTTTCGCTGAATAGCAAATGTTACTCCACGAACTCTGAGAATCAAATAAGTGTTTGCATTTTCGATACATAGCGGTTTCGTGTGGAGGGGGGGGCTGGTCAGCTAACGGGCGATAGTAGGGCGGGAGTGTTGACGGACAGGAAGCGACCAATGGAGCTCGATTTGTCAACGAGATTCTTTTACGTTGAGCTGTACCAGTAGTAACGTGCCAAGTTTAGTGCTCGACTTGGCATGCCGCACCAGCGTGGCTTGTATCCAGAGTCTGAAGAAAGACTTCATAGGGGTTCGCACCAAAAAATAAACTGCAGGTGTGGGACGGAACCAAAATGAGCGAAGGAGCCGGAAACGACCAGTTCGAAACAATTCGTATGCCAGAATATTCGAAATCAAAACGTCGATTTAGTGCGTTGAAAAGAGCGTGGATTATCAAGCCAGCCTTGACCAAGATTAACTGAAGTAGACGGTACCAGCAGGGTGATGGTCGTAGACATGGGCTGAGGATATAGAATAAAAGAAAAAGAGAAAGGTGTATCATACATGTAGTACGAGGATAGTGTACTACCACGTATCCGTTGTTGCCTGGGTGGTTATCAGAGAAAACGTATAGGTAGGCATACGCGGCGACCGGAACGCGAGACGGTAGTCTCGTGCGTACCTTGTGAGCCCTCAATCTCCTCCGAAATCAAGGGCGGCGTGGTCTGCTGATCTGGACGTGAGACCGGAGTATCATCCGTAGATAGTGCAGATGGAGCGTGCTGTTGACTGGGACGTGAGAATGAGGTCTCTGATTTGTTTAGCGTGGGTTGTGAAGTAGCTTTAGGGATCCCGCTAGTATGATAGGTCTAGCATTGGGTCTCAGATTAGCAATTAGAGCACTGTCATCGAGGTGTGTTGGCTTGAGACGATCAGTGCATAATAACCGGACGCGGCCATGTCGAGCAACCTTGAATGTTTTTTCGTGGCGAATAATCACATGTAAACGTCCTTCGTAAGGCTGTTGCAAAGGTTTACGTACCGCTACAAAGGTACCACGAAATGACAGACGAACCCCCCTAACCCGCTCAACGCTCCACGGATTCGGAGCTTCCTTCATTGATAAATTCGCATTACTAGCTTATTATCATTCATAGCACTTTCAGTATTTAGTTCTAGTAACAGATAAGTTGAAAAGTCTGTAGATGAAGCTTACTTACTGTGGATCATGAAGAACTCAAACTTCATGTACCATTGTCAGTTCCTTCTAGTTCGTTGAATAACTGTTTAGAAAATTTTTATTTCCCTAAATTTTTAACACCTTTCGAACACCTGGCTGTCTTACCTACGTTTAGCCTTACTGTTTTTTCATTTTCTTTCTTCAGCTGCTTGTCCTTCCTATCTACAAAGTAGGTATTAACTGACCTGCATCTAACATTTCAAACCACTAGTTAACTTAGTAGCAGTAACACAAACTAGATAAGTAAGTAGTCCATTTTAAAAAAGCTTAAGCTGGTTGGTCTGCTTGTAACATGGAGCTGAAACAGAGAATTCCTACAAGTTGTGCAAAAAAATCGTAAATTAAAACCAAATAAAACATACTACAAAACGTAGGAAAGCCTAACATCAGAAAAGGAGGAGGGTGCCGTATCTGATGAGCAATCATGACAGTCTGGTAGTACTGTCAATCAATCCATGCCTGTGAAGCGGATCATTCCGTTAACTCACGGCTCCTTAAGATGTATCAAGGTGTAACTAATCAATGATACCGATGTGGCATTCAAATATCAATCACGCCCAAAACTCAAGTCAGTAACCTTCAACCTGTTTCAATTCCTAACAAGAAATCCTATGACAACCTGATCTAGACAGTTATGTTTAAAAAGGGATTGCATACGAATTCTTCAGCGAGGGCGTTAGTAAAAGAAAAACAATGAATGAAGATTCACCAAAGAATCAAACCACCGTACCTTCCTTAATATACTCTTTAAATAAACACAATTTATAAAAATTTAGTGCTCTTTAATCTCCTCTATTCAATAAATAGTCTGCCAGTTCTTCGCCTTAAAAGTGACTTGATTTCATCAACATACATAAATGTAGATAAACTGCAAGTGTTTAAGTACAGTAAAACAAAGGTCTAAGTATTCATACCGTAATGTTTTATTGAGAAGTTCATTTATTGACTGATAACTCTTCTCCAGTACTTTCCGTTCGGGCTTTTGCTTTTTCTTCTTCTAAGATATCAGTCTATGTAAATAAACAACTACAAAAAATATGCTAGCATTCGGAACAAATTGATCTTACCTGTAAATTTGTACGCCTCAAGTAACACAGTTATTTGTGAACGAATTATTAATAATAATTTGCTCGTAGCTGACTGAATCCAAACAGTCTCCAGCTTTATATTGTGGTATAATGTAGCTGATCTTCCACACATCCCTGTACGTTGTAACATGGTAAGTACCTTAGGAAGTGTAAGTAGCGTGTTATTACCGCATCTTTTAAGGAGTGTTGAGGGGATACCGTTACATCCTATATCTGTCGTGGTCTTAGAACACTTTTTTATTTCAGATATATTATTATATTATTTCAGTAGAATAGCGATCCCAGTGTAAAGGCGGAAACATGCATTTCAGAAGTGGCAAACGTATAAAGGCAACCTGATTATCACTGATTAGTCGCTCTATCAGTGAGAAGGAACCCGAAGCAATGACTGTTCCATCCCACAAGCGTGGATGGATTTAATTTTCACCCCACAGTCATTATTTAATGGTCAGTAACTCCACACTCCCTTCTTCTATTTTGTTAGGACCATTTAAAATGATTGGGAGATATTATTTTATGTTCTGCTCGAGTCTGTATATTTCATATCCTGTTGAGAAACACTTTCACTGCTGATTCTATGTCACATACTTGTCGGATTGCCGCAACTAGTGAATTATGAGCTAGGCGTCAGTGGCATACGATTAATTGTTGTATAAGAAAGTGTTAGTTTTCAGATGTACCGTAAGCAGCTACGGTGTGGCGCTGAAAAGATTGTTATTAAAACAGGCGTCAGTGTGTGAAGATGTGGCAGTGGATAGCTAGATAGAATCAACGGTAAGCCACATTTGCCTCACCACCTGTGATTTCGCCCCTGTTTTCCGGCTCGATATACGTATTCATTCGATACCAATAAATACATTCTCTACTATGGAATAATCCTTCTTCTCAGTGACGGGCTCCTAGTTGCTGTAGTAGTGGTCGTAGTCAATCTCGACTCTATCGCAACTGAATACGATGATAAAACGCCATTAGTGAGAGCCACAAAACAACTAAATAAATTAATCCATCAACCAATTACAGCCAAGAATTTCCCGAGTGCGAAATGCAAGCTTGGTTGCTGATGAAACTGTATTTGAGTCTAGTGGTTACATTAATCTGAAATGGGACTCACTGGCCTAGTGGCCCGCGATCTGGTTCCGATATTTGTGAATAAATAAAATTTGATGAAATAAATCTTCACTTGAGTTTCCGTATATTAGGCATAAATGAACCTCGTTTGTGACACGGGTTAAAAAGAAGCTTAATACGGTTTCGGTTGGATGAGTTCCCTTCAGGCAATTATTCGTGCAGACAGATGTAGTGGAACTATTTTGTGAAGAAAACATAATTGCTGACATATAAATACTTATTACTGAACATGTGTAACAATAACTGTTTTATTGTACATCTTTTGTTTATCTGTACTAAAAGCCATTACTCAAGCGCCAACCTCACCAACCCTGTGGCTTTATTGATCGTTTTTTGTTATCTGAACACGTGATATCATTTTGATATCACGCAACTTCCAATCAATAAATATCGTTATTCTATAACTGGATTATACGTGATTCTAATTCGTTTGGGAGTTTTCGCCTGGCAATCATCCCAACCACTACACAGACATGACGACAAAACGCTTAAAAGAAAAGCGAATTGGTGAGGGAGAGTGAACCAACCTATTCATCTTACTGTAAAGAACAGTAAGATTATCTCAGTGAAAGTTGACAGTTATTTATCGTGAAAGCATAACTAAATCTACAGATATGATAAAAATATTCTACTGGTTTCCTTTATTGTAACCTTTAGGACACCCCGCTTGGGGAAATATGGTCCAATACTTTTTATATACCGGAAAATTGTTTACTTCAGCTTTTAATGTTTAGATGAACACATAAATATTGATAACATTTACAATTTTGATTGTTTGTAAGTTGAATTCATATGTTTAAATAGTTAGTTGAATGATCGTTTTTATAACATGAACTCATTCAAGGAACTCATATTTATAAACAGATGATAGTTAACCAACACATACAATTTATTAACAAAAAAGTCATAGATATAATCAGTCATAAAACTTTCTTGGAACAATATCAAAGCATACAAACTACTCAGTATCTCATGAAATAATAATAATAATATAATAAACATTCGGATTATATTACCAGGTACCCAGCATAAAGACAAAATCATCCTATGATCCAGGCTTCTAATAATTTAATTTCAACCAGGTATTTTCGTTCAAAGTATAATATACGGACAGGCCAATCAAATTTGAGAATGCTACGTTTGGATTTTCGAAGATGAATTCAAATATTACGTATAATGTCAAATGGAAATATGTTTGCAGATACCTCGAAACATTTAAAATAACAACAAAGAAGATTTTATGCCATCACATATGAAAAATAACTATGTCAAACGTATCAAACGCCCAGTTTTATCTCTGCAGACTGAGTAAAATAGGAAAATAGATATGAACCTTTCACCACTTGACACTACGCTATTTAAACAAACTAATCAGACAGCACCTTTTGAATTTTTGCTAAAAATTCATTTATCCATTTGATTACAGAGCATTTTTGTACTTTAGCTGATGTTAACTTATGATGAAAACCTTAGTTCTATCCCACCCCACCAATCCTAATCTTAGAAGTCTAACCAAGAACTATGTGAGCAGTTAAGAATCTATTTAAGTCGCTTTAAATGTTGAAGAACACGGATAATCTTTCTTTATGAGGCATTTTTATGCGACTGCTTTTTCAATTCACAGACAGAGTAACCTGTTGAAGACATTGATAGATTCACTAGCTACTGAAAATCCATCTACATTTTGTAGTATTCTTGTTTTCTATGTAATAAACTATTCATTTAAGAAAGCTGTTTTGTGACTGGCTAAGAACTAGAAGGATATTCATCGTGGTCGTCTTAAGCTCGTTCACGTGCTATACTTTTACACTTTTTTCCAAAACATTTTCGTTTAAGTCATGAAGAAGATAGGAATCAGCAGTAAAAATTTGTAGTTGCTGTATTTCACTGAGATACCAAATTAAACATTTTGACATATTGAATGAAGCGTGAACTTTTATGTTTTTAGGAACTCTGCTAAAAAAGAACTTGGCATGAGATGGCATCCCTCGTATCAATAAATACTACTATTATAAATGTTTGACAGAAAAACTCCGGAGTAAGAAAGAGGGAAATTCATGAGATTGAAGAATAAGTTAGTTAGAAATCAGCCGTTTTATTAACATACGTTCAATCTATCGTGAATTGAAATTATTAATAGATTATTATAACGTTTATCATAAAATACTATCACTAGAAGGTGATTAGGAGATTAGTGAGTTTTGAGTTTGAAATCACTGACTAGTTTTCTTTAGATAACTATTGAAAATCGGGAAATATTAAACTTCTGTTTCTTCCTGTTATGAAACCATTGAGTGGTTAACGCTCACGACCCCATCAGGGAGTGAACCTCGATGGTGAGAGACTAGCCTTCAGATCACCGAGTTGACATGGACTGGTTTAGATGTCTAAATTTCCTGCATTGGCGATATTGCATGGTTTTCAACTATAGGCATTAAGTGATATTTTGCCTGCTTCCGAGATGCTTGAACTCCGCTCTTTCATCACTTTATTACATTGATGACTATTAGTTTCGGGGTGGGAGACAGCTGTTGTTAATGTACTATTCAGAAACTTTTGTAATGAAAATGTATGTTGTTACTTACACCATTGTGTTACTAATTAGCAAGATAACTATTTACCACACATACACTGAAACAAAATATTCATGGTCAACTAACATGCCTGCTGCACATGCACATCGCTGCGCTGATATACAGCGCAAGGATACTCACTGTTGCCAACAGTACTGACCCCTGCCCCTTTCGGGTACATACATGTTGTCCGGTTTGGTCTGCAGACACATCGGACATCCAAAAAGCACGCACACGAGCAGTGGCCCCTGCACGGGCACTTATGAATCAAGAAATCCCACCAACCAAACCACAGCCCACAATCCCCAATCGGCGAGGGCGGCAAGGCGGGCTTATCCTTCCGGACAAGGGACCCCGTAGCAGGTTACCGAGCCACCCAAGCAGTGCACTAACCAGCAGCCATTCCAACCGTCTGGCCTCCAACTGCCTTGCGTTGATACAATCGATCGAGGCCCATCTTACCCCGCATTAAGCTAAAGATCGAGTTTGTCCCACAAGGTCAGCTAGAACGTACACCCTTCCATGAGGAAGATGTCATGAACTCGACCAAACGCAAGCGCTCGGCCAAGCAGGGTTCATCCCACAGAAGTGGGCAGACATCATTGGTGTTCAATGCCCTTTTCAGCACTAAAGCACCGGAACCCAACTTGAGACCCTTGTTTAAGGGGCCTCGACGCCAGTTCACACACAACATCCGGTGAAGCATGTAAGGGATAACCACATAGGGTCGGCGTCAGTAGTCCAGGATGTCTGCGGCTGCTTCCCCGAACATAGGGTCCAGGGCCGCCCTCGATCATCCTACTACATCCCTTTTAACGGCGTTTAGCCGCAGCGATGTATCCACCGCCACGTTGCCTAGCGGGACCACGAAGAGGTAGCCGCCACTACAACCCCTCTCGTTAATCCATTCATGCGCGTCACTAATTAGATGACGAGGCATTTGGCTACCTTAAGAGAGTCATAGTTACTGAAACAAAAGCTATTAAATGTGGTACTTACTTACTTACGCCTGTTACCCCCAACGGATCATGGGCCGCCCACCAGTTTCCTCCAACCAACTATGTCCTGAGCTTCCCTTTCTAGTTCTTTCCAGTTTTTGTTTATTCTTCTCATGTCTTTCTTTATTTCTCGGCGTACTGTGTTCCTTGGCCTTCCTCTTTTCCTTTGACATTGAGGGTTCCATGTGAGGGCTTGTCTTGTGATGCAGTTCAGTGCTTTTCACCGTGTGTGTCCTATCCATTTCCACCACTTCTCCCTGATTTCCTCCTCCACTGGAATCTGGTTTGTTCTCTCCTAAAGTAAGTTGTTGCTGATAGTGTCTGGCCAACGAATCCGAAGTATTTTGCGAAGACAACTGTTAATAAGCACTTGTATCTTCTGGATGATGGCTTTGGTAGTTCTCCAAGTTTCCGCTCTATATAGTAGAACTGTCTTGACATTTGTATTGAAAATCCTGATTTTGGTGTTGATTAGTATTTGTTTGGAGTTCCAGATATTTTGGTGCATTGAGTTTAATAGGAATCAAATAAATCTATCATCAGCTGATTATGCTTGAAATGGTTATGAAAAGTTCTTTATTATAAACTGTAAAATCTCTCAAGTTTACGAAACACTAAAACACAGTCAGTGCACACCAGACGATCAAAATTCCAATTAAGCGAAGCAAATACCTAAAGCTTATAATTAAATTTAAAACTGTACAAGAATATTTTGAAGCAGTTTTTGGATAGAAAATGAGTGAATAAAATAAACAATGAGTTAAAGACTGTTTTAAACACCTGCTTACACTATGAACATTTGAAAGACCTTTTGAAGATTCAATAGATTAAATGGTAGATGGATAACGTCTGAAACATTCATTTTACTAGTTTTTATTTGGTTAATCTATATTATTTCAACTTTTCAGCGTGTTTGATTCGGTAAGAGTTGAAAAATGAGAAAAAATGGCTCATGTTACTATGTAAACGAATATTTTAGTTTTTAGTCCCATTATGGGTGTATTCAATACTAATTATATGGTAAACAATATTTCTAAATAATCCAATGATATTGTAGTTAAATGTTTGAATGAAATTTTCCAATAATCATACTGTATATTATTATGAATGTACAATTTATGATGAATTAATGCAAACAAACTTTGTACAAGTGACTTATTGTGGTGAACATTGTTACAAAACCGATTGATTTACATAGCTTGATTATCAATGTGCAAATATGTAATCAAAATTACATTTCCATTGCTTGAATTAAAAAGATTTGTTTCATTATGAAAATAGATTCGATATTTAGTAATTGACTTGACCCTTAAGACCTTTTATCTAATTCTCGTCGATTATCTTCTCACAGCTATTTATGTTTTTAAATGCAGAAATTTCTGTTAACATAAAGTTGTATGTCACCTTAACAATAAGTCACTTTGAAATGATAGAGATTTGTTACTCCAGTGGATTGTTTTGGTAGTTTTATGTTCATTGAACTGATGCTATTATTCAAAAAGATAACTGAAGCTTTGCACTGAAACCACTTATTTCAGAGAGCACAACACTATCATAAGTCGACACAATTAGTTAAGGAAAAAATTAAAAAAATGAGAGAAACACTAAACTAACAATAAAAAGACTGACATGAAATGAATGCTTACGCAGTGATAAGATATTTGATCTTTTGACCAAAAGATAATCAATGGTTTACACTAGTATATATTTATATACGCTATGAGATCTCACTAGACAGTGCTGATTCAGTTTATTGCGTAAACAATAATAATGTTTACACCATCTCTTCTTTATAATGCAATAGCCAAAGTCTAACGACACTTACAGACTAATCTAGTGATTTCGCTTAAGAAGTTATTTACTTGTTAATGTTGATTAAGAGCGAAGTTATTTGTATGTTTACGATTAAATAAGTTCAAAATTGTCTAAAGTAGTTTTAAACAATAACAATCAATGTTTTATTATATGCATAAGCTAAGTACTGTGGCTTATATTCTATCACGTCGTTACGATATTTTTAATTGTTAATGGACTATGATTTTTCTCGTAACGCCTCCTGAAGCCCTTCCAGTGTTAGTGCCTCACACAAACAAGCAGTGGCACTGATACTGTCCAAAGTACCACAAAAAGCACCTATAAGATGGGGACCTGGAGTCATCAAAACCTCCCTGAAGACATTAAAAGAGAGGAATACAATGAATATCATTCAATGCAATGCGCTGGCCAACAAATATCACTGAGGAAGAGAAAGATCAATTTTATGAGAGGCTACAGTTAATCATCGAAAAAACGGCCAGCAAAGGACTCGACTATTCTGACAGGAAGGTTAAAACACAAACAGAATACACAGAAGCAAACAAGTAAGTGAAGAGGAGCGTCGGAGCAGACAAACACAAATATGTAGAATATCTATCTACGAAAGAGGAACAAGCTTCAAGAGAAGGAAACATGAGACAGTTGTATAATACAACAAAAAAAGCTCGCTGGGAATTACCGTAAACCAGAAAGACCTGTGAAATTCAAGTAAGGAAAAGGAATCCACAGATTATCTGGCTCTTCTATTCTACACCCATCATAAAGTGCAGATGATGACCAATAGTGTAGCATCAGCCTCTGTGGCAGTAGGTTACAACA